CCTGGCCGCTGGTGACAGCCCCAACGGCAGCCCCCAGCAGCACACCCCCCCCCGCCATCGGCAAGTGCAAACCAACACGTTACGTCCCTCTCCTCTCCCTGGAGCGGGCACAGAGGGGGTTTCTTGGGGACAGAGGACACCCCTCACCCCACAAGCACCCCAGCTACGGATGCTGACCCACCCGCTTGTCCCACACACTAGCCAGCTGCGGAGAACAGAGAAGGAAAAGGGCCAAGAGTTTGCTCCTACATTTTGGGGCAAAACCCAGTGTTTCTTGAGCTGTGCCAAGCACAAGCTGTGTCTGCCAGCAGACTGCATCCCTGCTCACTCCACGGAGAGATCTGGGTTCGGACCTCAGTCCTGAGGGCTTCCAGTTGACCAAGGGAGAGTTTCTGTCTGCTTCGCTCTTGCAGGGTGCACCAGCGTTACTGGGATTTGCTCCTGCAGGCGAGGCTGAGGGCAGCCGGAGGGGGCTCATTCCCACCTGGGATGCTCGGGGTCTGCGTTACCTGGGAAGGACAAATGGGTTGGGGGACCGCTGAGCACAGGCAAACTCATTGCACTGGGGAGGGCCGCCCACGGGGCTGCAGTGGATGTGTCCATCAGTGTTCTCGAGCATCTGACTGTGCCCAGGGAAAGCACATCGGAGTTACTCTCCCCTCTCCCCACACAAATCTCTCCCCCCGGCTCCCCCTCAGCCTCCCTGAACGCCTCTCCCCACTGCTCCCATCCAGCACCACCGTGTTTCATCCCCGAACAGTTAATGCTTCAGACAACAAAGGAGCTGTTTCACACCCCTTTGGCCTCATCATAGGAAACCAGGAGTACAAATGGTTGGGATCACTTTAGTTGTTTTTTTTTCTAATGACAATGTGAAATAAATTGAAAAATTACCCATAAAATGCAGGTTTTCAGCATCTGGCTCAGCCTTACTTTCCATAAACAACCAAGCCCGTAACACGGCATCCCCATCGCGGATCTGCATGGGCTGGGGGGGACGGTGTGGGCACGGGCATGGCGGTGCCATCCTGGCACGGGAGCGGAGAAAAATACAGATATGGGAATGGCAGTGGAGATCCTTGAGCATTGGCAGCTGCACCGGTGCTCGCGGGTGCTGCCGATGATGGATGGCCATGGCCGCTGGTGCCCAGCTGGACTGTCACCCTGGCAGGGCTCACAGCAGCTCCTCACCCCGCAGCGGGGCCAGCCCAGCTCCCAAGGAGCTGATTGGGAATTTTTATTGTCCGGACCTGGAAGGAAAATGCTGTGCAAGAGCCAGGGAAGCGCCTCGTCCCCGGTCACGCTCTCCGGCTGCTGGCACAAGCGAGCGGATGTCGGAGCGAGCCCTGCCAGAGTGAGCCCCCTTTGCAGGAGGAGTGTGCTAATTAGGTGGCTCTCATTAGCACTGGGTCCTCAGGGACGGCACGCGGCAATTTGCTCAGCTCATCGCTGGGCTGTGCAATAGCGCGGAGGCTTTGCCAAGGCCAGCAGAGCTACTGGTCCCGGTGGGTGCCGGCTGTCCCCGAGGGAGCAGAGAAATCCTCTCGTTTGCCTTAATTTGGCTATTTATGACTACTCCTCTGAAAATTGCAGTGGGAAGGGGTGATGTGTTGACTGCTGATTAATCAGGCGGCTGTTACCTCTCTGTTGTGCCAGGATGTGTTTCGGGGGGCTGCTGGGGGTGGGGAGCTCGGCTGGCGGTGCCGGGACAGCAACCGCGGTGACTCACGGGTGATGCCGGGGAGAAGCAAGGCTGAGGCCGCGGGCGCTGCTGGCAGCTCCCGGCTCCCTCACGCAGCCCTGCTCCACGCCAGCGCAGAGGGGATGAAATGTTCCTCCTCCGTCTTCCAAAGCACCAGGGAGGAAGTGTCCAGGAAGATAATTTGGAAAGTTTGTTTGACACTTGAACACGCTTTCATCTTTGGAAAAAATGTTGGTGACCCTCCAAGGCAGCACCGCCTGCTTCCCAGCACGGCCGGCGCCCCGGGGCACGTGCCTGGGGAACCATCCCAGGGGCCATTTTCAGGGTGCCCGGAGCTCCGGAGGGAATAGCATGGTCCTGCTGGGGCCGCAGGTCAGCCCGGGATGCTGGCACAAAGGATGCTGGCACCAGGGATGCTGGCACCAGGGATGTTGGCACCAGGGATGCTCCTGGCCATGGCAGCAAAGTGAAAATGAAACGGCTGGAGCTGGTTGGCAGCAGGGGGAAGGAGACAGCAAGGGGCAGCGGGACGGAGGGAGCCTCCCCAGGAAGGCAGGGTTTTCTCCCCAGGTGCAATGAGCTCCCCGCAGCCACAAGGGCTGGAGCGGCTGCCGGGAGGGATATCTTCTCCAGCACAGAGGCCCTCGTGAATCCCGGGCGATGAATGTGGGTTTGATCAGGGGAGGGTTTGAGCGGATGGTAGTGGATAAGGAAGAAAAATATTTGGCATTCCTCTCCCATCATAACAAGCCCAGATGCTTGGACGGTGGCAGCCCACTTCCCACAGGAATGGAAAGTCACAGCCGCTCTCCGCGCCAGCTCGGCAGAAGCCCTTTCCCCTGCGCTTACGAAATGCCGGCTCCACCTAACGCCGCACCGTGGCCCTCACCGGGCATCCTGCAGCACGGCCGCCTCCATTACCCAGGTCCCCAACAGTGGCATTGCCCGTGACCCCCATTCCAGGGGAAGCAGAGCTCAGAGCTCAGCAGATACACAGGGAAACCCGTTGGGAATGGCCAAACTGCAGATTTACTGCCCGGAGAGGAGCCTGGTGCGGCCGGGTGCTCCTCCCTGTGCCGGCATATTGGGAACACCTGGGCCAGCACAGCCCCACAAGGGAGGAGAGCTCCGGCAAGGCCGGTGCCGCCGGGAGACATAATGGGAAGCAGCTC